TCAGTTTTTTGTAAAATTTCTCATCTGTAAAACTTAAGATGATAATGAAAAAACACATGTAAAACAAACTGAATTGTTTTAAGACAGGAACTATGACAGGAACTTTACAATTGAAATTTAGTAATATAGATAAAAGGTTCAAATTTAAAAGTAAAGTATTATTTAATAACAAAAATATCATGAGTTATATATCTATTTCACTATTTCTAAAGGAAGTTTACTTTTCTATTTAATAATATTAATATTTGAAATTATCTGTAATTATTAATTAACTGAAGTCTAAGAAACTCTTAAGACTGCTGTTTTCTATCTCCAATGACCACTTCTTTTATACTTTTTCACCTTCATTCAAATTTTACATCAGGAAATTTTAGGAGATGAAAATCTCTGGAAATCTTTCACAAGTTTTTAAATATTTTTGAAGCAAAAAATTTCCAGAAAATTTGCATACAAATTTTCTAGTATTTTTTTATTGCAGATATTTCCAAAAATTTTTTGTGGAATTTTTTGAAATATTTTTCAAATTTGCAAAACATTTTGCATATAATGTAATTTGTTTTTTTAATATATTACAGATAAATATAAATTATAACTTTTTCGGATGTAAATTTGAAAATTCCATAATATTATGGGCATTATGTATTTTGAAAGTTTAACACTTTAAAAAATTTTCAAAGTTTAATGCTATAATAGATCATATTGTAATTAATACTATAATGTCTTACATCTTTCTTTATGATTTCTTTTATTTGCAATATCATGAAATTTTTTCTAGTAAAAATCTTTGAAGATTAACATTAATATAAATATTCCATTGTTAATTACTATATTATCCTTCAGAAGTTTTTGCTAACTTTTGAAGGTTATCAATTTTGATATTTTCATGTGACAAAATCCTGTGAATATTATTATTTTCAAGATAATTTTGTAATAATATTGGAAGTTTTTGATAAAATCTGCTTATGTTAGATATTCATAATATATTATTTCATAAAACTTTGATAGTTATCACTTGTATTAAATTTTCACAAGTCTCAGTACATTATATTCCACATATATTTATATCATAGTAATTTTAATTGACATTACAATGTTAACAATATCTTTTGAAGTTTATCACAGCAATTTTAATTAAAATTGCACTGTTAATAATATCCTTCAAAGTTTATTACAGTGATTTTAATTGACATTGCACTGTTAACAATATTCTTCAAAGTTTATTATCCCATTGATTTTCAAATGTTAACATTTTTTATTTGTGTAACAAGACCAGTTTCTCATCATATGACTTATTATTTAACAATATATTCTGTTTATTTTTATTTTCAGAAATAGCTTTACTCTCTCTTCAAAGCTTCTCAAAAAAAATATGTTTATCTTCCTATATTTAATTGATATTTGCTTTTATATCAAATACACCAGAATTCAAAATATATTTAATAATATTTATTGACTTACTTAACTTTATTTTATAACTTTAACAAGTAAATAAAGGTATTTCATTTTTTTTTTTGGTTCCAGCAAGGCCTTGCCTCAAATTTATTAATTAGAGTAAATAAAGGTATTTCATACTTTGTTTACTTTCAGAAAATAACTCATTAACTTTAACATATATTTATGAAACACTTTGAAATGGTATATTTCTATATCTTCCACTAATTTATTTTGTTATTATATTATTACTTGACTTATAACATATATAACAAATAGAATACATTTAGATACTTTCGAAGAAACTTGAATTAATAAGTAATTTTGATAAAGTCATAAGGTAAAAAATGAGAACTTTAATTTAAAGTATTTCAGATTCTTTGAAGAATTCATTTTATTAACTAATTGTATCAAGGTTTTATGTAATATTTAAAGCATAAAAAATTCTTCCTTCATTAAGATATTTATGCTAAAAATGTATCGAATAATATAATATCACAGAGAATAGGAATTAATGTCCATGCTTAAGAATTATTTGAAATATAGGTTACTTAATTAAAGTAGAAAAATGATGTAAAATGTTTATTATTACCTTTTAATAATAAAAACCAATATATAGGTGATGAAATATTATGAAATAAAATTTTACAATAAAATAATTAAATTAAAAATAGTTCAAAAATGATAAACTTTAAACAAATTACATTAAAATACTAACCATTGAATTTTGAAAGTTTACGCTAACATCAAAAAATTTTAATTTTTTCTTAGCCTAGACATGTGTATTTTTATTATAAAGATTATTATTTTTTGGATTTCAAAGTATTTCTTTAATTTCATTATGAAGATCAGAATTAATTAGAGCTTTTTCTTGTTAAGATACTGGAAGATTTATTATATATTGATTGATAATTTCATTAAAAATTTCTCTCCTAATAAAATTATATTCCATGATAAGTTTTAAAACATTAAAGGTATAATTTTATTGTCACAAAAAAAAATATTTAAGGTATAATTTTATCGTTATAAAAAAAATATTTAAAGATAAAATTGTAGATTGTAACACATTAAAAATCACAGATACATGATACTTGAGGTATCTCAAATTGATTATTGACTAGATGACAACTGAGCCACCTCAGATGACCATTTTTTAAAAAAATTTATATTAGATACCCCAGGTGACAATTTACACCTGAGGTGTCTCAGGTAACAACTTAGTCAAAGAGACATTTGAGGCATAACATATACATGCCGTTTAACCAAACATAACCAATCTAGCACTTGGAAGGAGGAAATCTCAAGTAATAAATGGCAAAAAATAAAAATTTGTCTGTCTCACTTGTGCTTTGCTAAAATTAAAGTATTAAGATTTATTGCAGAAGCACTCTTCGAAGTAAAGTGATAAGGTTATACATTCACAAGTTATTCAAAACCTAGTTAAACAAGAGGCCATAAAGAACTATTGTCTGTCAGCAATCTTTAATACAGTAAAAGAATATGCAGCAAAAACAATGGGTCTATAATCAAATAAAAGGTGTCGATTGACGAAGTTTGCACCAGAAACTATCATATTCTTGATTGCATTCTGGATATACTATAGTCATTTTCTATTCATTTATAATATGTGTGGAAATTTTATTTTTTAATAAATTTGAATCAGAATTTACATTTCAACATAATCTTATTATATGGAACTATTACATGGAGAATTAATGCATATAATTGTGTTTTGGAAATAGTATTTATGCAAGATATTCCTTAAGCGTGATGTGCACTACTGTTTATATTTATATATTGTAAGTTCAATCTATAGCTGCTACAAAGAGAAATATTTCGCCCAGTTGATTATTATTTTTTCAAATAATAACTTATCACAAGATTTACAAATCTGTGATACTAATTTTGTTATTTTTTCATACTTGAAACACTTACATTATATGATCAACTTTAGGAATTTTTAGTTAGATCAACATTCACTTTGTATTAGTATTATTTCTAAAACTAGTAGCATATCCATATCATTGTGGAAACTGGTCAAATAACAATATGAATAATATTATTATTATTGCGTTTTCTTAATATTCAATAAATCTTTAAAATTAATTACATCTCCTTTACTAACATCTAAAGTTTTTTAATGTTCATTTCTTCACATATCTCAACAATTGAATCAGATTCTTCTATTGGTTACCTATTTTCTTGTTTATTGATTAATTAATAAATTAAATTTTTTACATGCCTCATAGAATAACGAAAAAGTTTTTAAATTGAATCTATGACTTGTAAAAAAGAAATATTTTAAATATGTTGCATACTTTACTACAGTAGATCGAAGAATTAATTACTCGTTTCATTTTCGGGGAAAATGCAATTTTCCTATTTGTAGATAAATAAATGAATTAGTAGAAGAAATAATTAATTGATGGAAAAAGAATTAAAAGTCGGAGGTGGAGAAATGAAAATTTACCTCCACCAGTATCATCATTAATAAAATCATCAGCATTACCACCAAATTCTTGATCATTATTATCATTATCTTCATATAATTATAATGTTGTTGATCAATGGGGTTATAATTATAAACCTAAACCTTTTCTACTGCTATGCCATCACATGCTCAGCATAATAATAAGAATAAAATTACATTTAACCGGAGGGAAAATTAATCGGTGGGCAGAATTAAGTTAATGTTGTAGGGTTAGGGTTAGGGGATTGACCAGGAATTATGTAATTCTGAAATTTCACCCGGTGAAAATTAGCATCACTATAATAATAATATAGGTAATGTGAAAGTTCTGTCATAATAACATTGAACTTTATTTAATGGTAGCGATATTTATAAGTACCTCAGAAGTATAACTAACATTCTGTTGTTTTTATGATTGGTGTGATGGAGATAACAATAATAATAAATCAGCGACATTAAATTCTCATATCAATAAGAGAGACAAACAGAAACAAGAACACAATAACAAATATACACTGGTCAAAAATTTATAAATACTACACCTATCTGGAACCCGATAGGTGTAGTATTTATAAATTTTTGACAAGTGATAAACAAATAATAATATACAAAAAGAATCAGCAAAGAAATTATGCCTGAACAAGAGATTTTTTTTTTTTAATCAATGGAGTTATGCTTTATTAAACTACAATCAATGCATAACCATAATACATGAATAAAATTTACATTTAACAAAACTGGCTATAATCTAATAAAATATCAAACTAGCTGCCTGACCCATCATTGTCCTAGTTGTCCAAGACAACTGATGGTCATGCCCTCCGTCCTCTTTAATCAAACTGAGCAAAAGGTAGTTGGAAAGAAATATAACGCATCACGGAACCTGTACCCAATAAACTATACAGGAAAAAAATTAAACTGTTCTAAATTATTTGAAATATACTAATCTAATTTGTAACATTTCATAATAATTTGTTCACTTGCCTATATACTGTATAATAAAAAAAAATATACGTAACCAAAATAAAATAAAAATAAAACAAAAATTATATAGACCCTCATCCATCATGAACCAAAATAATTCTAGAGCTAAGTAACCCTATGTTATTGCTGTTCCTACTGGGTTAATGGACTGTTGACGATCTAGTTTACTAATGCCCCAACCCTAGTTCCCAATTGTTTGATGGTACTAAGCAAGTCAGCTAACCTCTCGGACATATCTGATTTTACCATTTTTCCTTTTCCCTTTTAACAATTTTTTCTGGTTCATTAACTTTCTTTTCTAGAATGTCTAACATTTTGATTATACTTGTTATTTTTGATACTTGTTCTGCTAACATAAGAATATTTTTTTAAAATCAGCATGCCAGCAAACCAAATCTTCATTGTCTCTGCTATTTCTGCTTTGAAGTAAATTCTTTCTTACACAGGAAATCATTTTTTTTTTCATCATTATTATTTTTACTTTTCTTAATGATATCAGCATATGTGCTTGAATTATGTCTAGGTTCAATTAAACAACTGTAAAAGTTTGGTTTGTACCTTTTATATAAATTACCATATTATTTTACTTTTTCTGCTTTATTGGATGCCATTTGTTTATAATATTAATGACATTGCATTCTTTTGTTTTATGTAAATTTGAACTACATACGAAGCATAAAGATGATGACATGGGAACCATCTTTAGCTTAATTTTCTCCATTAGTATAAATTCCTTATCCTTTCCATTCTTCAAGAGTGTATCTTCTGAATTGAAAGAGATAATTGCATAATTTTTTCTTTTGTATCCCTCCTTGGTTCAAGGAATGTATATAGTACGACCTTCTATTTCTTTTACGATTTCTTTGATTCTAGTGCAGTCATGCCTCTAGGCATACTAATAAGTTTTGCTGATCATTTTCCCCGTTGTTTAGTTCTTCGTAGCTCATATCACCTGAAGTAATTCATAGACAGTCCATTCTGATCCGAATAGACCAGAATGAAGTCAATTTTTCTGCAACTTAATTGCTTCAAACTCCAATTGTTTCTGTAACTTGTCATATTCAGTAGGTAGCGCATCAGCCACATCCTGCACTTTGTACATCCTCTTCTTTTGGTAGGTAGATAACAACTTCTTCTTTTTATTGGTTATTTCAATTTTTCCCAAAATCACTTCAATTTGATTTTGAAAAAGGAGATTTTTAACTATGAGAATTTTCATATATAAATTTTTTCCCTTGATTTTAAACCCAGTGGTCTCATGCCATACTTTGGGTGAGATATTTTTGGCCCGACCAATAGCTTCAGTTTCCTTTTCTCTTATTTTTATCTTTTGTTTTTCCAAATGACTCATGGTCTGACAAATGAGTAAGTCATTATCTTCATCTCCACTATCTGAAATTTCTATATCTTTAGGTTCTGTAACATATGAAAAAACTTGGAATGGCTTAACAACGTTACTAAGGCTTATTTCATTTTCATATTCTGCTGACTCTCTAAGGGGTCATTTTTTGCTTATGTGCCCTGTTACCATAGTTACCTTCTCTTCTTGTTCCATCTCAGTAGTTTCCTTGTTTTCTTTTTGAGAATTGCTAACCGTAGGAATGAAATTATTATTTCTGTCATTTTCATTATTTTTGTTGCTGTTTTTGTTGACCAGATGTACTTCTGGTATTGTATCTGTATTTAGCCCTACCCATATGAGTAAGGATATGATGAAAAAACTAAACTTTGTATATGAATAAACTTGGAATTCTATGTTTTCGGCTGTGGGAATATTTGGTGCAAGTTATCAACAGAAAGAGTTTCTTTTATGATTTATATGCCAGAACAAGAGATCTTTGAAAACGGGAAGAATTAAATAGTAATCATATAATTTGTTTTGATCAATTACAAGTTAATATTGAAGATTTCTAGTAAAGATTACTTTTATTAAATAAAGTATATAAATAATTATAAAAGTAGGGTTTTGATATTGAAATAATTATTCAAGGTGGGTGCATTTAGTAGAGAGTTAAAAAATTCTAAATAATAAATATTGTACTTCTCAAAAATAAATAGTAATTGAAGAATTAATTAAATAATCATTACTTATTTTCCTTTTCGGGAAAAGAATGCAACTTTTCCATATTCGTAGACTTGTTATAAATTCTTGTTTTATAGGCTCGGAATTAAAATAAATAAATTAATTAAAAATAAGCTTAATCGGCTTAGTTCTGTAAAATTTATTAAACGCGATTTGCAAAAATTGCGTGATTTAACAAAATAAACTCATTAAATTCTTAATATTATAAAACCTCAACTCCAAGTATAAAGTATAAATAAAAAATAATAAGTAGAATAATAGAAAATATATAATGTTAAATAAAATTTATAAATCATATGTCATCATTAAAAATAAAAAATAAATAAATTAAATATAAATTATTAATTATGAAATGAAAAACGAATAGTGTTCCGGAAGTTTAAGATTTGAAATCGAATTTCAAAGATTTAGACCGATGTAATTAAATTATAGTAGATACTTTATAAAAAATTCAATATTTAACTAAAGTAGAAGATAAATTGATAAGTTTAAATGATAAAAAATAAAATAAGAATAATGAAAAATAAAATATTTATTTCCTAAAGCTTAGAGCTTTAGATAGTTTTCTTAACAATCTTAAATACTTCATAATTGATGATTGAAGAATATTACAATCTTATATGTAATAAAATTTGGCGTAAAATGTACATGTACAGAAACAACCTAAAGTGAAATTAGATTCACCCCTATGTAAAAACCTCCAATTATAGGCCATAATAATCTTGTTCCTCTTTAAGCATTGGTTTTTTTTTACTCTGCTAAGAATTTATCTTTTGTTTTAATCCATTTACTATTAATATATCTGTTATCCCATGTTAAAGGAGTATAGCCTCCAGTAATTTCGTCGGTTCTTACAACTTTCGTTAAAGCAACCGTACAAGCGTGACCAAGGCAGATATTCCAAAATGCCTGTGACGCAAATCCATCTAAATATATATGGAATATTTGTTAAAGTATATGGGTTTGTGGGAAGAATACAAGATTGAGCAATTCCCTACTTATGATATAATCCCAAATTTTAACTTCTTCCATTTGTAAGTCATTTTGCTTGAGAAGAGAGACCAGTGCAGAATCTTCGAGAGAAGTAAAATCATCAGCATCAAAAATAAGGTTTGGATATTTTACAATAATATCATTAGATAAATTTTCTAATTTATTAAAGTTATTTCGACTAAAAATAGAATGATAAATAAAAGAAAAATATGCTACAACTAGGAGCCTTTAGTTTCGGTAAGAACGGTTTCTAATTTGTCAGTTATTTCTTCGAGTTTAAATTCATCAGCAGCTAACATTAAATCATTAATAAATCTGATTTCATAATTTCCTAAATAAATAATTCCTCAATAGATGTATCTAAAAATAATAATTAATGAAATAAAATTACAATATAGGCAATATTGCTTATATTATTTAGATGATAACTTAATGAAGAATGACATTAAAAATTTTAGCGCAAATGCTTGACTTGATAATTATTTTGATACTATTTCATTTGGTTGAATATTTCCTAATTCTATTCGAAATAAGACGATCAGAATTTGAATATATAAATAATAATAATATAATAATAATTATTATCTTGATTTAAATTTAATTAATAATCTAGCGGCTGGCCTAATAATATTAAATAGGTAAATATTTATTCATTGAAAATAACAACAAATAAAAAAAAAAAAATAAATGAATTGTTATTTAAAATATTATTTGGGATATCCTGATTATTATTTCATATCAAATTGAATTCCGTATTCTTCAATAATTTTAAAATATTTATTATCCATTATTTTCAATATGCGTGGTAATTGTGATGCTTGTCCCGTTTGTCTAATAGGTTCGATGCGTAATCCCCTAAATCTTTTATCTCCTCCTCCTCCTCCTTTACAACACCACCCTTCGAAAAATTTTCTTAAACTGTCAGAACTAAATATCCATGGATTATCATAATCCATTTTAATTGTAATGATTTCAAGTGATTCTGGTACATTCTCGGCCATTTGACATAATAATTCATTAGCATCGAATCCTTCCTTTTCACAACCAAATGAAAAACTTCTTAATTCATTAAAATTATTATTAAATATTGCTATTACTTGTTCAGGACTTAAATTAAAAAAAGTTAATTCAGTAATCTTTGTACAATAATTCAAAATTGTTGAAAATGTATCAAATGGAATTGTTTCATATAAATCTAGACAAATATTTTTTAAATTTGTATTTGCCGTTTGGAGAATTTCTATAATAAATTCTCGAGGATATCTATCAATATGTCTAGAATGAAAATAATGAAAACTATTCAATTGAGTAAATGATGAAGCCAAGAATAAACAGTCCGAATTATGTAATCTGTAACAATGTTTAATATAAAGTTCTTGAAGTGAAATAAATTGTCCAATTGATGCCAATTTTCCTTTGAAGTTAGAAAGATTTACTAAATTTAAACGAAGACTCTTTAACGTTTCTTTTTGACTAATGATAGCCCAAAATAACGAATTAGGAAGTTGATAAAAACTACCAGCAATTGATAAATTTTCTAACTGTTTTTGGGCACTGATAAGTTTTTCTAATGATTCGATTTGAGGATCTGAATTCAATGATAAATACATATTTAAAATGTTATCACAAATTAACGTTAATGATTCATATAGTCCAATCAGATTAAGATCTACTCTTATTATTGTCGAAGTAAAACTTTCTAATTTACTAAATACTTCGGGGACACCAGGTAATTTGAGAATTGAACCAATTAAATCACTATAACGTAAAGAATTATTCATGGGAACTTCTGTTATTTTGAAAGAATCTATAAATTTACAACGATTTATTATTAATTGGAATATCTCACAAAATAATATTTTCGATATTCGTCGACTAAGACTTTTTTTAAATGAATATTTGGAAATAAAATAAACTAAATTATTAATTATAAATTTATGAGTAAATGATGGATAATCGAAAGTAGCCTGAGGTGGTGACGATAATAAATAAAACCCATTTTGCGCAAGGAAAATTCTAGCTTGAGTATCCATACATGATATATAAGTTCGAATACATAATGCTTTCTTTCTCAACTTCTGCTTATTATCTAAACTACAATCTTGACCAAAAGGTAATTCCCAAAGTATAGGTATAGTAGCTTTACACCAGATTCGATTAACTAATAATGATGAATGTAAATCCCGAGAAGATTGAAAATTATTTAAAATTTTAATTACTATTTCCGTGGGAATTTTATTTGCTGCCATTCTTTTTCCAATAAAAAAAATATTTGTATCACATTTATATAATATTAATGATCGGTGTGTAACTAGGGTTGTTAAGTGGAACATAATGTTTTGGCATCAACCCGGGTTACTATATAATTTTTACTCCGGGTTGCTCCGGGTTGCTCCAGGCTACTCCGGGTTGCTCCAAGTTATTTTAATAATTTGATTGGTTAATCAATTAATTTTAATTTCTTTGTTAAACCTCTTTTATAATTATCCACATCAAATAGCGATTTTAATAACCTGTGATCCAATTTTTGCGTTTTTTTAGCTCATTAGATTCCTCTCATCGAGGCGAACATTTTGATAGTTGTTTCATCCAGATTGGACATCTCTACGCCATGTTATTAAATAAACACATG